ACACACACACACACACACACACACACACACTCTACAGCAATGCCATTTGGAGATTACTGAGTTTCCAGTGTTGGAGTTTGAGCTATGACTACTAGAAAAGGGTGGGAAAGAATGTGCGTATATGTGAAACATCACTGTTCTCCTCTTCCTAACATTCTGATCAAGGTTGTTGAAAAGCAAGGAAAAGAGAAAATAAGAAATCTCTAGAAGAGATTTATCTTCAAACATTCAAGAGATGTATGTGGATATTTCCTGGTAAATTAGATTAGGGAGGCAGTGAAGGACAGGAAGGCCTGGCGTGATATGGTTCATGGGATCACGAAGAGTCAGACACAACTTAACAACTGAACACACACTGTACCTCTAATAATTCTTGGTCACTTTTTTGTGGAAAAAGTTCTTTTAGTGTTTGGAGTTTACAGTAGTTCAGATCTTCCTCCTCCTCTTCCTCTGTGGCATCTGACATTTCGGTTGGACCATTTTTATGGAGAGATTGTGATGATTCATTCTCACTTTCTTCATCAGAAGGTTCAGAACTATAATTATGGAGATAAAACATTAAGCTTATTTTACTGTAGAGCTAAAAAATTGCATCATGAAATACATAAACAGACATTAAGTAACAATGCTACTTTTAGAAGCCAATGGTAAATTCACTAGAAGCCAACAATTCTAGCCCTATTATAAAATCTTACTAAAAACAGGAACAATTTATTTATTATTTTTCTATCTAGGAAATTTATTTGCATTCTTTTTATAATGTTTTGGCTAATGTAGTTTTTTAGATGAAACCTAATTTCTTGAATTATCCCTTTATAAGGTCAAGAGTTTTCGGTGCCAGAGCTGTTACATGAAAAAAAACTCTTTAAAAAAAAAAAAGCAAGAAACCCTTCTCTGAAATTGCCACATATCTGATTTACTTATATATTGATTTCTAAGGCCAATAATTCACCAATGACTCTGTCCCAGGGAAAACCTATGCATTTATTTGCTAAAAAGCCAAGTTACCTTATTATTTATTTATAGTATTTGTATGGCTGCCTATCTTAAAACACACATTTTAAAACTGATGTCAAAATGCATAAAACTGTATTATAAATAATTTTGAATGAGTGAGGGTTCCTTAAGTAATGATAGGACAAAATGGGTCATGCTGAATTTTGGGGTGGATTATGTTGGGGTGATGGTTTTATTGGTTTTAAGGATCAAAACAGGGAAATTAAACCTCAGTTATGCAAATATAATATACCTATTTTGCCTCTTATTTTTTGCACAAAAAATATTTCTACAAAAAATTGTACTGCTGAAAATCAGAGCTTTTATGATGCAATTTGAACATACTATGGGACTTTAAAAGGGAACCCGCGAGCAACATGCAGGCTGTGTATTACCCATCTCTGCTCACATTGTACATTCAAGATAGGTTAGCTTTAAAAGCAAATTTGATCACAAGCCACTTGTCTTCTAAAACTTTAGAATTATACAATCTATATTAGCTGTACAATGGTAGGATATAGCTATTTATATGTAGGAAAAAAATTGGTAAATCAGTAGAGGAACTGCTTCTGGGTGGTCTCCCCCCGCCCCACCCTATCCCTCCTTTTAATGAGACAGCCTGAAGCTCCTTATGTCCTTCTCTCTGGAAAGAAAAGTCTGGAGCTGGTTTATGCCATCAATTGTGTGCTTTTCAAAGGTAAATTATATGTGGAGACTATTTTGATCAAAAAGTAAAGCACGAATATATGTAAATAAATGTTATTCAAGAATGAGATTGACACTGGTCTTTTAGGTAAGCTTAGCATAATTTTGTGAACTAGGAAAATGAGTTTCTAATAATATTATTGTGGCAAATGATGTCCATGATTATACAAATTTAATAAATTATTACTATATCTTCTATGAGAGATGCCATTTAAACATTATCAGGAGTAGAAAACCTTGCATCCATTAGAGGTTCTTTTTATTAATTTTTTTTAAAAAGCTGCATAAATATGGATTGAAAAAATGTTCTCCTCGCATGATCACATCAAATATTGAAAATCAAAATATACCCAACATCCTTAATTCCCAATACTATATAGTTAACATACTTAATCAAGGGACTGTTCATTGCAACAGCAGAATAAAGTGAAATGCAGAGATACATTAAGAAGTATTAAATTTGTTTCAAAAAATGCTTAAACATTGTGGTTAATTGCATAGACAAGAAAATTCATTTTCTCAAAAAAATTAACTTGTGCTTTATCATCTAAATCTTTTACAGATTGTGATGACATGTTAACCTGAGGGCACATTAAAATATACATCTAATTATCAAGTTAGCATTTATAATCTCCTTCTTGGAGATACTATCTAATTAAGGAACATAACAAGCATTAGCACACACAAAACAAAGCTTTCTGGAAACAGTAAATAATAATAAATTCATCAATTTCTCATTTAAGAATGTTATACTTTTAAGAATAATTTCAATTAGCTCATAAAACCAATTTAGATCAGATTATAAAAAAATATAATAGCAATTAGGATAGCTTTTTTAATGGAAAAAGATTATTCCAATAAGTCTAAATATTTTAAATTTATCATTTTGCTTTCAACGGTAGACATGATACATGACAATGTTGTGATGATTAAGAACAGTATTGTGTAAATATCACAAAACGGAGATTTACAGTAATCCATTTTATACTAATATCTATGGCTAAAAAAATAAATAAATAAAAATTCCAATAAAAGAGAATATATGTAGCTCAGGGTTAAAGTGTGGAATCCTTGGTGCTCTCTGAGCTTGGTTGTTTGCTTGCAGATATTTCCTTATGTTACAACTAGGTAACATCATCAATACAAGTGAGTGTGGTGTTTGCTTCCTGTTTATATACAGTAGCTTGCCCTGCCAGTGTTGGTGGGGGGTGTAACTGACCACTCAACCCACTACAGCACAACCAACACAAGCTATGAAAAAGGTAACACTACTATACACCAAAAACATCTCAGAAACAACCAACTATTACAACCTCATGGCATTACTGTAGCATACAAACCAACTAAGACCTTCCAAACCATCTTAAATAAACCAAAAGACCCAGTAGCCCAAGAATAAAAAACAGGAGTCATCTATAACATATAGTGTACGGACTGTAAGAGCCACTATGTAGGCAGAAGAGTAGCAGAGCACATCCAAGAAACTAACTTGCAATCAGAAGACATGATGAAAACTCCTTAATCTCACAACACATGGACAGACTCAACCATAGTTTCAAGTGAGAAACTGTGAGCATCCTAGATCAAGCTAAATCCAAAAACACTAGGGAATTCCTGGAAGCCTGGCATTCAGACAAATCAGCCATCAAT